AATTTCCTTTATTCATCGTATTTTCTAGCCAATGTACGTTTGTAAGATCCCACATCAGTTGGAGAGGAAAATGAAACATTCCTTATAAGGGTGGGGGAATCTCTCCCTAATAAACGTGTTTTAAAACCATGAGGCTGACGACAATACGTAATGGGCCAAAGCAGACAATACCTGTTAGCGGTGGGCTTGAGCTGCTACAAATGATATCAGAGCCAAACACCTAGCTGTGTGCCAACGAGGATGCTGGGCCTCTAGGGGGAGTGGATTGTGAGATCTCATGTCGGTTGGAGAGGGGAACGAAACATTTCTTATAAGAGTGTTGTAACCTTTCCTTAGTAGACGCGTTTTAAAACCACGAAGTTGACGGCGATATGTAATGGGCCAACGCAGACAATATCTACTAACTGTGGGTACTAACTGTGGGCTTGGCCTATTACAACGTTGTTCATTGTCAAGTCCAATCATGCCTGATGTAGACTTGTTTTAGATAACTTTTTTTTTTAGCTGTGGTTTGAGATATGAGCTTCCGTAGTTGTAATCCATAATGTTTTATGATGCCATTTCTAGTTCAACTGCTGTATTATTGTTACTCGTGTTTTTATTTAACTAACAATTTTCTTTTTTCTTAGGGTTTTAGTATCCTTGCAGATGCTGGTACGGAGCAGCTTGAATTCATTTCTCTATCACAAAGGACGGGAGATCCAAAGTACCAGCAAAAGGTCAATTTCTAATTGTTGTGGCTGTAATGCTGTATATCAATGGTATTGTTGGAAGTGTTAGAATGTTGAATATTTGGTGCTCAACATGTCAGGTTGAGAATGTTATATCACAGCTCAGTAAAAGCTTCCCCGACGATGGGCTGCTTCCCATATACATTGATCCAACCGAAGGAAAAGCATCACATGCAACCATAACTTTTGGTGCCATGGGCGACAGGTATTCAATCATTTAAGGTTTTCTTAAGCTTTTCCCTTCCATTTCAAGTATTTTCCAAACCACCATCAACTTTTCACTGGTATCCTTTAACTCGAAGATTCATTGCAGCTTTTATGAATACTTGCTCAAAGTGTGGATACAGGGAAACAAAACTTCTGCTGTAAAACATTACCGGTAAGAAGCCATTTCATCTATGATCACACTACAAACTGATTTTTTTTTTTTTTTTTTTTGAAGAAATTAAGACCGCGGATAAGAAATTTGGGGGGAAAACGATTGTACGGTTTTTAGAGTTCGAGATATGTGACTTTATGCATGACCCATGAGTGCTTTTTGCGCGTGTGATATCTCTTGATCTTTTAATATGTCAAATATTTTGATATACAGAATTGTTTGTTGATATTTTAAATTTAGGGAAATGTGGGAGAAATCAATGGAAGGTCTTTCAAGCTTGGTTAGGAAGTCAACCCCATCATCTTTCACTTATATTTGTGAGAAGAGTGGAGATTCCCTCACTGACAAGGTAAGATATGGGCTAGTTTCTCTCTCGATTATGTTATAAGAAGATCAAATATTATGAATACCTTTCCCCAATTTGCATGACTTTGCAGATGGATGAACTTGCATGCTTTGCTCCAGGAATGATAGCTTTGGGATCATCTGGTTATGATTCTGAAGATTCTAAGAAGTTCTTAACGCTTGCAGAAGAGGTAAGAACTTCAACCTTTTAATTCCTCTTCTTCGCCTTTGCTCCTCAATTAATTTCTTCATTTGATTCATTTTATGGTCTAGCTTGCTTGGACGTGCTATAATTTCTATCAGACCACCCCAACAAAATTAGCTGGAGAGAACTACTTCTTCCACTCTGGAGAGGTTCATATCATCAATCCACTAACATAGCATCTCTCACCAGTTTCCTTTTTAGTAATGTAGTTTAATGCTGTTTCATATATGGAATGTTAGGATATGAGCGTTGGTACATCTTGGAATATAATGAGACCAGAGACAGTAGAATCAATCTTCTACCTCTGGCGTTTGACTGGCAACAAGACATACAAAGAGTGGGGTTGGAACATATTTCAAGCATTCGAAAAGAATTCCCGGGTGGAATCGGGTTACGTCGGGCTGAAAGACGTGAGCATTCTCGCAACTCTTAAAAGATCTGGCATTGTTTTAGTCATTAATCTGTATGGAACTCGGAACAACATGCCTTTGGCTGGTGTTTTCAGGTCAACACAGGTGTAAAGGACAACATGATGCAAAGTTTCTTCCTTGCAGAGACACTGAAATATCTGTATCTTCTCTTTTCACCAACTTCAGTCATTCCTTTGGATGAATGGGTGTTCAACACAGAAGCTCACCCTCTACGCATTGTACCCCGGAACGAGGAAGGAGGATATCCTGAAAGATCAGACGAGAAACGCAAGCCATACATTCGGTTGCGTAGCAGGAAGGAAGGTCGGTCCGATTGAACACGCGTTTTACTGCATTCTAATTCTTGGTAGAGTTGATTTATAGACGAAAACCTGAAGCATCCATCCTATATTATATTATAGTGTTATTGTTAGATGTTCCTTCTGGGAATAATGCTGCAGCTCTCATATGATGATGATGCTTAGACGGAATTTGTTTGTAAAAGATGTAATACTTAGATAAATGTTGATGAAGGATTTTGTTTTTATTTGCTTGAGTTGCTTCAACATCCCATAGCAGGAATGATATGAGATTCTTTTTTGTTTGCATATTTGAAAAAATTATAAGCTCTTCCTCTTTGGATTCCATTTTTTTCAAGCAGTTGATATGGTAGAAACCAGAGCTCTTTAATGATCAAACGGTGCCCGTTCCAAGAAACAATCTGCTGTCATGTGAAACTGATCGCACAGGATTACAATGGATTGTCCTATACAAACCTATATTGATACATGAGTGTTCATCTTACTTCGAGAATTCGGATTCTTCCACTCAAATCATGAAAATTGAGTTTGGATTGAATTTTTGAAAAATTAAAAATTTTGAGTAGGGTTAGCATTTTTTTGGTCGGGTCAATTTAACCCATTCGAAAATAGGATTATAACTCAACCCAATTCTATCTTACTTTTAAGATTATTACAAAGATTTACGAATATTTGATGTTTGTAATTTATGTTAATGATACATCGTGACTTTTAAATGTTTGATATTTGAGTTTTGATTAAAAATATCTAATGTTTGTAATTGATGTTAACGATCCATGACTTTTAAATGTTTGATATTTAAGTTTTGATTAAGAATATTTGATGTTTGTAATTGATGTTAATGATTGATGGTGACTTTTAAATATTTGGTATTTGAGTTTTGATTAAGAATATTTGATGTTTGTAATTGATGTTAATGATGCATTGAGACATTCAAATGATTATTCGATGAGATTTTAATTATTAATGTTATACGTATAGAACCCAATATTTTTTTTTTAAAAAAAATAACCTAACCCAACTAATTGAAAAGTAAATTATATTTGAGTTGTTCCATTCACTGATTCAACTTACTTAAAATTTTGGATTGATTCAAAAGATTTTTTAACTCAATTTAATCGGTGAACACAACAGAATGAGGTAAAAAATTCCTACCAGATTAAATCGATGAAATTGAAAAAAATACAATAGGGTGATGGGTAAACATTAAATTTTTAATAATTTATTTTTCTTACAAATATAATGAACATGTCAATATCAAATCAATATAAAATATTATAGTATTATCTATATGAAGAATATTCAATGGAGAGGTCCAAGACTCACATTATTAATATTTTTTTGTTCAAATAAAATTATTTTTAAAACATAACATAATATTTAAGGGTATTTTTTACAATTAAAAAAATCAAATCTGAAAACATTCATCTAAAAAATAACTTTTAATTTTTAAAAGTAAAAAAGAAAACATTTAAAAATATATTTAAACTTTTAAAAAAATTGGAAAATAAATTTACAATTAATTTAACAGATATTTTATTTTAAAAATATCTTAAAATTTTTTAAGTTTCGGTGTACTCTTAAATTTTTTTAAAAACTTTAAAAATACCTTTAAATTTTTAAAAATACCTTTAATTTTTTTAAAAAATAATAACTGAAATATTGAAATAGTGATAGAGGAGTTTCATCCTACATTAATAATAATAACTTTTTTAATTTTTTTTTAAAATTAGGAAGGTTAATACTATTTTTAAATTTTAATGCTATTTTTAAAAATATAGTATTTTTGAATTTTTTAAGTAGAAAGTTATTAATATATATATATTTTTAAAGTTTAGTATTTTATAACATCATTAAAAATTTAAAAGTATTTTTAAAGCAAATATTAAAGATTTAGTATTATGAATTTTTTTTTATCAACTCCCGTAAATTACAGAGAGCTGTCAGCATCGTATCGCACAGTTCTTGATGTAAATTTCTGCCGATGTCGCCACAGAACTCTTCTGATTCGTCCTGTTCTTCAGATCACCCGCCGGCGCGCACCGTCGTCTCTGCATGTTCGATTGAACGTTCTCATTGTTTTTTCAGAGAACATGATTCGGAATGCTGTAATGGAATCGTGAGATTGCTGCTGTGACAATAAAGAAGCTGGACAAAGCGAAAGCGACTCTTGCACAATCGTGTTTTGATGCGAAGATCCTACTTGCGACGTTTTGGTCTCCACCACTCTCACCGTTCTTCTTCCTCCGTTTTCTCGGCATTTCCTTGCCGCTTTCCTTTTTTGATTTTAAAACTCCGCAGCATCACCTGCAGCGACAACCAGAATGTGACAGTTGCGGCAGTCCTCTTATCGGAGCCCGCTTTCCGTCGCAGAGACTTGCACCTGCTTCCAGTTGTTCGAGACGCTCCGTTTTATTGAGCTTGATTTCCTTGGACTCTTAATCGCGCTCGTCGTCTTCTTATCCATCGCGGTGTGTTCCTTTTCGAATTCGCATTTTTCTTTTGGTTTTAAGTTATTTATGCTTTTTGCTCGGAACGGAGATATAATTCATTCTTGTGCTCAATTAATTAAATTATCTTTTTTCCAAAATTGATTTGCTACATTTGCAGGTTTTTTCACTAGAGCTAATCCCGTTCAGAGAATTGAATCCAATGATTATCATAGGTAGTGGATTTTTTTCTTGCAAAGTTCCCTTGAACATTATGTAGTAATATAATTATCAAATCCATACTTATTCGGACACTTCTGTCTTCGTATATTTGTTTTAACTACTGTAAAGGTGAGCAGACTCGATCGCGTCCTTTTCAGCTTTTAAGTTTTGAACTAGTGCTAAATTGTCACTACACCGAAAGGTTCGATCGGTTTGATCAGGGAAATGTAATAATTTCACACTTTTAACACTCGAACACTATATCAGGGTGCGGCTAAGACTCATAAAATTCAACACATGAAATCTTAATTTGATACGAGTAAGCAAAACTGCAGAAATTTCCATTCAAGTTGTTAGATTAGGATGCATATAATCTTTTCAGTTAATTTTTAAACATGTAGGATATTATAGGGGGCACGTGAAAAAGGAAATTAACTGATAATTACTCAGGAATCAGGATTACTTTATCGTCACCATTCTTATGTTTTCTTCACATGGCTCATCGTGGAAATTATTTTCTCTTCATTGACTTATCGTGTTCATTTGACCTGCATAACATTTTTATCCTAGTCAACGAGCGGTTACCACTGCTTCACGGTGCAATTTCCTTGTCTTCTCTTTGAATTTGGGGTTTAGTTTGCCACATGAAGTCATGTCATGTTGGCAGAAGTTGTACACTCTGTTGCCGATTTTGCAAATCAGGTATCTTAACCATTCAACTAGCGAAGTATCTCTATCCATGCCTAAATTTAACTTGAGCTGTTAATCACTGAATGCTGAGGAATTAATTAATTTTATCATTGTAGGCCCTTCTTGCATATGGTCTGAGTAGCTCAAGGCGGGCCCCTGATGCCCTTCATCCGTGAGTTATAAATATCTTCAGCTGCGTAGCTTTATCACGTCTGCAGTATATATTTTCAACTTCAATGGCAATATTGTTTCCTTCTTTATATAAAAAAAATGTTTGAATCAAACTAGTTAGAGTCTTATTTTGGCTCTCATACCGTAAGGGTTTAATTTTATTTCTCAAAGATATTCTTGGCTGGTGCTGTTTTTAAGCCTTTGGCTTGCAAGCTTGCCTTAACAACCAAATTGGATGGTTTTAATGCGGTGGTGTTGGAATAGTATGGTTGATTACAATTATATTTTCAAATGCAACTTGGCGAATTTATATTTTTGCGGCTGTTAATGTTTTGTGTTTTCATATGACCACGAATTAATTGAGAAGTCTGAGATATCTTCGTTGTTGAACAGTTATGGATATTCTAAGGAGAGGTTTGTTTGGTCATTGATATCTGCTGTTGGGATCTTTTGTCTTGGTGCTGATGCTACCATTGTTAATGGAATTCAAAATTTGTGGACTTCACAGGTAACTGGTCAATTGAAATTTGAGTCTCGTTTCAAATGTTACCGTTCTCAATTTTTCTCTTTTCCTGTTTGATGCATAGCTCTTTCTTTGTTCGTGGAAACTCTGGACTATAATTAAAAGTTCTTAAGACTATAATTAATGAAGCACGATATGTCAGAAGTATCTAAGCTTGTTGGACAAGAGCAAGCATGCATTCCCACAATTAATATTCTCTTTCCGTCATTTAGGCACTCCTGTTTTCTGACCTTTTCGTTTTTGGTGGTTTAAGATTTTCTTTTTATAAAAAAGTTAGTGGTCTTTGTGGACTTCTCTTTACTGTAGTTTTGTGGGTTCCCCTTTTTGTTGGGTTGTTATTTTTTGTATGCCCTTGTACATTCTTTCATTTTTCTCAATGGAAGCTTGGTTTCTTATAAAGAAAACGATGTTAGAGATTTTGTTGATCCAGTTTTCTGTAATGTTCAGGATGGTGTTGCAGTCATTGGTCTTATTGTTGCTGCTGCATCTCTTGTTGCAGTGAATACCACAGGGAGTGCAATTTATGATCCCGTTGGTTCCATTATAGTTGGTAACTTCCTTAGAATGGTATGTCTCTTGTCTGCAACTGTGAGCGAATAATTTTTCTTTCTCATTTGTTTATTGAAAGTGGCATTTCATAGTTATTATTTATATTCATCCTGCATTAGATTGCAAAGTGCTCCTTGATTGTCAGATGTTATCAATTAAATTTATTTGGAAAGACGGCTTACTAGTTGGCTTCTGTTTTGGTGTGTTCCTTAGTCTTGTTTGTGTGAGTACGCCAAACTTATAGACTAGCTTAATTTTTTTAAATAAATATATAAGCCTCAAATTTTAGCCACTAAAAATTTGAAACATGCATGACATGGACTTATTTTAGTTGATTAAGTAAATTCAATACTTTCGTACATACCAGCTCCTCCTATGGATGTCTACACCTGCATACTCTCACATAATTGTGCTATATAATCTATATAATCATTCTAAGAATATTGAAGGTTTCTGTCAAAAAATTCTATTCCAGGGCGGACATATGATTGATCCTGTGAAAATAATGCTTTCACTGAAAATAATGAATATAAATACAATACAGAAAACTAACCTCTCACAAGGAGTCAATCCTAGCTAGTTTGCTTTGAATGCCTACCAGCTAACTTTTGGAATCACAAGAATAGCGATAACCGAACTCTTTACAGCATGTTCTGTAATACGAATCAGTGATAGTGAAGTGCGGCAGAAGAAACAGCTTCTAGAACAAAGCCAGGCCACTAATGGAGTGGCAAAGATGATGCAGTATACGGTAGATTAGAAAAGGGTTGAGCTATAAGTTACATGAATAATAAGCAATATAATAGTCTTGGGGTTTTTTAATTTATTTTGCATGTGGACATATTCCTCATCCAACGTAATCGGCATGCTTTGATCGGTAGAGCAATGGATGAAAATGATATGCAGAAAACTCTCCAATTCTTGAAGAATGATCCCGTATAATTATGCTTGATAAATTTCTCTTCTATCTTTGCCTTAGTATGATACTTCATGAGTTCAAATTTTGAAGTCTTCTTGTCTAGGTTGTTGATACTTTATATGATTGCAAGTGATTGGACCAGGATTTTATAGATTCAAGGCAGAAATAGGTGGAATTTTTTTTACATATATATTTTTCCCTCCAATTTTTTCTTCAATACCCGATCCATGTTGCATAGATTCTTTAATGCTTAGTTTCTTCATAAAAATTTTAGTCAACTTAAAAGATGAATCAAGTATCGGGGACTTTCATCAAATATGTTATGCCTATGAATTGCCTTGTTTTTGTCTATTTTATGCCTATGTGGGTCGTGGTTCTTGACATCCTACATCAGCTGTAAATTGTTTCCCCTTCTATTGCTGCCACATCATATCGTTGTGTTATCACTTCTGTTGTTCAAAGGCCAGAGTTTACAGACAATAATTGGTTGCAAATGAGAGAGCCTGGTTTGTTGTATTCTAATTGACCCTTATACGGTTGAGGATTGTTGGGAGGGAGCCGCCTAATTTAGGGAATGATCATGGGTTTATAAGTAAGGGATACATCTCCATTGGTACGAGACTTCTTAGAAAAGCCCAAAACAAAACCAGGACAATATCGTACCATTGTGGAGAGATTTGTGTTTCCTAACATTACTTGTGAGGATGAATAGATTGATTTTATCTAAAGCACAATCGTCTACCCTATACTTTTCAACATGCTGAAACCCTTCTGTGTCGGCTTTGTCTTCAACGATTCTATATTTCAGGCAGTTTATGACATTATTTATCTTCGATAAATTATGATTTTAGCTGGCTATATGAAGCAGATTTCAATGGAGTCACAGTGGTGCAAAATTATCTAAATAGGACTGGACGTGAAGAGTGGGCTAGAGAGGTTGATGACACTTTTTATCTCCAGTATGCTCCCTAGTGTTTGTTTTTGCTTGATTTGATCTTTTAAGCAAAGTCGACGTCTGAACTACACCCATGTCCTACAGTTTCGTCAAGCTGCAAAGAACCGAGACAATTCAGATTTGCTGGAAACGATGGCGAACTATGGTATGCATGAAATGAGCATCATTCAATATTTAACAAAATTGAGATCTTGACTTGTTTAGTTCACAAACTCTTGTTGCAGGTGAAGAAGTGGTTACTGGTTTAGGAACATTTTAAGATGGAACTCATCCCTATGAATAATTATTTCAGCCGAGGTTTTGTAGGAATGGTTATTTTGTGTAGGAGTTGAACACAAGCCACAGTATTTCAATTGTTCCTGTATCACCTTTTTTGAGTAATAACAGTTTCATATTTATTCAAAGTTTCATATTTATTCACATCTTTGAGCGTGAGATATGGCAACAGATAATATTTATTCACACCTTTGAGCGTGAGATATTGCGATAAATAGGCTGGAGAAAGAGATCCAGGAGCTCGTTCCTGGTACAAGGCATGTGGATATCGAGGCTCATAGTCGTACTGGGTCATCCCCATGAATCACAGGGAAGTTTCCTCTCTTTTTTCCATATTAGAATTATTATGTTCATGGCCTTTGATAGAGATCCAGAGAGTGATGGCTTATTTTAGAAAAATAATTTAGATATTTTAGAAATAAAGTTATCAAGATATTTTAGGAAAATAATTTAGGTCTCTTAGGGATAAATTGTGTAGCCTCTGCTAAAAATATCTCTCCACCCTACTAAGTTATCATCCAAAAAAAAATTAGGTATTTTAGAAATAAAAATATCAGGATATTTTAGGAGGATAAATTGTGTAGCCTCTGCTAAAAATATAATTAAAAAATATAATTATGGTAAAGGCCTTGTTCAAAACCATTGCTTGTCATATGGTCTCAGTACTCTCATTCCCAACCTCGGTCGGAATCACCAGCCCATTCAAACTTGTATTCCTAATTCAAAGGGTCCACAATTGTTTTCCTAATTTGTTTCTTTGTCATTTCCCCAATTGCTTTCCAAGCCATTAGAATTGTTGACCCTTGATATAATAAGAATTCAGTAGTATCCCCTATTCAATCTAACTTAGCATAAATTATTTTATATATTTATAGTATGTAATGGCCTTAAATAAATGCACACGCAAGGAGGCGGTGGGGGTCTACTTCGAGGAAAGATACAGACGGGGGGTTCGAGGAAGGCTGCATAATTTATATTAAGAAACTTCCAGGATGGGTTGGGGGAAGCTGGGCGGAAGATCGGTGGTTATAAGAAATTGGGGGTATAAAGGAACTGAGGTAAGAGGGAAAGAGAAGGAAGAAGCGTTCAGGGTTATCAGAATTAGTGTATTAATATGGCGTTCGCCCCAATATTGGACATAAAAGAGGTGGTGGTGGGAAAGAAAGGGATTAAAGAGGCGTGCCCATATTGCGGCGGCCCTGTAATAGCTTGGGACATGGATGTCCGCTGCTCCTTCTGCTTCTTCTTCCTCCTTTACCACAAAAACAAAACCCAACTCTATTGCGCTCTCTGCTCCTCACGCCTCTTTTATTCCTCCAACAAACCCTAGTCTCTTCTTATTCTCCCCCACATATATCCCTCCTTTCTTTTTTACTCCTATTTTTTCTTTTTCTTTTTCTTTTTCTTTTTCTTTACTTGGTACACAATGAGAGAAGGTTGTGTGTGAAGTTGTTACAAGTAATTGAACAATTTTCTTTTTCTTTTTTTCAGTTTGGTTTGTTTTCTTCTGTTCTTAATTTATTTACACTTGTGTTTATTGTTTACTTTCTTTCTCCTCTATTCTTGGTCTACGCTTTTATTTTTTTTAGTTTGCAAATTTGAAATGTTTGGCCATTCTAATGTTTGTGTTCTCCTTTTCAATACCTTGACATCTAGTCATTTCATTAGCTTCATATTTTGTAAGTTTAGTTCATTGCCTTAAAAGGTGGACATTTCATTCTCATTTTGAGAGATTCAATTCCCATTTTGCCAATGAGAAAAGGATTACAATGAACTGTGTGAACAAAGGAAGCAAAAATTTCATTCATTAACGTAAGTGGGATTGAAAGTCTGATTTTTTAATAGGATACAAACTACCAACTAAATATAACACCAAAAATTATACTCACCAAATCTTAAAGAAAACTTGAAAGTAAGGTAAAATATATCTGAAAATAAGGGAAAATCTTAAAGAAAACTTCAAAGTAAGATAAAATATATCTGAAAATAAGGGGAAAAAAATTATAACGGATTAAGTAATAATTGAATTTACATTAAGATGCAAAACCTAGATGATCTGGACACATTGAATTTACCGCCTTCCATGTATCAAAGTGATTAATATAATAAAAATATAATAAGGATGCGTTAAATAAACACTCGAAGTTTTGAAACTGGATTTGGTTGATTCCACCAATTTAAGAACACTAAGATCGTGCTCTGATATCATGTTAAGAATGAGAAACAAAAGTGAGATTGAAAGTTCGATCATCATTAATGTTCACAACATTGAGTACAAACTATTGGCTACATTTTTTTAAAAAAATATACACTACTAACAAAATCTTGAAAACAAGATAAAATATACCAAATATAATATTAACCAAATTCTGAATAAAATAGTGACAACAAGATAAAATATACCAAATATAATATTATCCAAATTCTGAGAATAAAGGAAAATTTTTTAATTATTAAAATATATTTCAATATGTCTTGACATTCACAATCAAGTAATAATCTTACGAATAGAACTAGTAAATGGATGAGGCACGTGTACCACTTTTATATACATTGATCCTATGATATCATTTTTATGCACGTAGAGCCTTTCGAGCATGCAATCACTTTCTTGCCGACAAATCATGTAGAAAAGTATGGAATATGTTTAAAATTTTATGACTTGTATGAGAACACGACTATAAGATATTAATTTAATATACATTTATTTTTTTATATTTAATATTTTGTAAGAAATTATTTAGATATTAAATGGTAAAATACCTAACATCTAATTTGACAACTTGACAAGTTCAACGAGTTGCGATTAATTTTTATGGACCATATCTATATTTCGGGATGTTAAGAACAAAAATGTATTTTCTGGGGTTCGAGATGTTACATTTTAATTACTTTGTATTCACGAGTTGTCAGGAGTATTTTAGTCGATTGATAATTCTTAATTAATATTTATTTAGTCGACCATTTCTATTTAGTCATTTCTCTTGTTAACCCTTTAAATTGTACAAAAGGGCTACAAATATAATGTTCGAAAAATGATAGTTATATGAGAAATTCTATTTGGTTGCTCGGTCATATTTCAAAACGCTTATTTTAAATTTGATCATGTATGTTGCTTATCCAGCCTATCACCCAATCTACTTAAACAACATAAAGGCTTGGCCCGTGCGGTTTAGAGAATAAGCCTATATATATATATATATAGGCACGGCTTAAGATTTTTCGATAAATTATAAACATCATTTCAGGAAAATAATACATTCAAAAAGTTTCTCTCTCGATCCAATTATTAGTCATTTTTAAAGAAAAAAAACATCTCGTTTTCTTTTATTTTATTTTATTAGTATATTGCTTAGAAATTATTCTAAATCTAGAATCCAAAAATTTAATAATATATTTTTTTTCTTCCTGAAGAGATGATAAAAGGAAGAATCCCTGGACTTGAACACAAAATGTAATACTTTCTCTCAATCTCATTACTGTAAATGGAAGCCTTTATCAAACAATAATTGACATCTTAACCGTTCTGCTGCATGTCTTACAAAATTATCTTTCACAAATACTCCTGTTTAGGAATCATTAAGAACAAAATGAAAACTAATGCAATGCAATACAATTGGCCTGTAATCTGCTCGGCCATGAAAGCTCGAAGCACGCAAATCAGAGATCGATACAGTCGTGTCTTCACTTGCCTTCACTTGCCTTTACAATGAGCCTAACAAAAGCATGAATATGCCAAGTGATTCTTCTTTGTGATGTAAGAGGAGATGAAGTTGGAAGCAGAAGCTGTGGATTCTCTAATGGTGGCTGGAACAAGTATTTGATTCTTCCCCAAACCAATCCTCTTGCCTGCAACATTCGAGTAGAAGAGCCCAGAGATCGCTGGTACGAAGATATCGCTTTGGCTACATACGTAGAAGTCGATTACTTTCTCATATTCAGAACTCTCTGCATTCAAAAACTTTGCCTTCTTGTCCGCTGGCATTATGCTTTCCTGCAACAAAAGTTAGGAGAAACTCCCAGAATCAGTAATGGATGAACTGCTTCACTCTCATAAAGAGAAAGAATTTGTAGTTCAGTCCGAGTTGCGAATTCTATTCAAACAAAATTTAAGAAAACATCAGAATATATCCTCACGAAATTGAAGTACGTATCGGGGCACGATAAATGCCTCCAGACTCACCTTTGTGTAAGTTTTTGGAAACAAATCTTTGAGATCATCAAGACTGTTTTCCCATCTCGGTTGAGTCAAGTATATGGTAGCATCCTTGTTGAAACCAATCTTCCTCAAAAACAAAGCTATTTCTTGTGCAGTGTAACAACTTTTACTTCCAGATGCCTCTTGGCATCCATTTTCCCCCAACATTTCGATCCTCAAGTCCACGGCTATGAACTGACCGTTAGACTTCCGACTCAAAGTTTTTAGCCTCTCAACCATGGATTCAATCACCTCATTTATTTCTGGCTGCAACTCCAATGTTCCAAACATGGCCAAACATGGCACTGAATCACCATCACTTGATGTGGTCGACTTTTTCATATTTACGGAAGGGAAGTAAGTTGCGAGTCTTATGCTGCCACTTTTTTTAAAAACCTTCTCAACGTGTTCCAAAATGTAATCTTCTGTAACCCGATTCGGCACTTTGATAACCGAGAGCTTTCTTGGAGATATTTCAGATGGCAGCGTTTTTACAACTTTGACAACTCCATCGAGGCTTTCAATAAACTTCTTGACATCATAAATGTCCCCAAAGCTCCTGGAAGATATCAATTATGTCAGGTTTCGACCAGAATAGTTTCCCCAGAAGTAATAGACAGAGTACAGCAGCACATATCTATGAACATGGAGTGAAGCAATAGGAAATTCCGAGGCAATAAAAGTAGAGATGAAGATTCTTTAGAAGGAGGATCTTGTTCCAGCCACAGCACTTGTTAGAACTTACCACTTATCTCCCAGTTCTTTCCCTCTAATATCAGGGACAACAAGAGTCGCACCTAGATATCTAGCCACGACCACAGCATCAGCAATCTGAAATAGGCAATAAGCATCAA